CTATTTGGGAAGTTGTATCAGCACCAACGGATTGATTGGTGACAAAATCTCAGCATGGGTCCAAAAAGCTCGGGCTGCTTTCGCTAACTTACACTGTCTCTGGCGTAGGCGTGATATCCGGCTATCAACCAAGGGACGTGTGTACTGCTTGGTAGTTCGCTCCGTCCTTCTCTATGGCTCTGAAACATGGCCAATACGAGTTGAAGACATGAAAAGGTTGACTGTTTTTGATCATAGATGTCTACGATCTCTTTCTCACGTTAGGTGGTATAATAAGGTAAGTAATGTTGACGTTAGGCGTAGAGTGTTGGACAAAGAGGGAAAATCAGTCGACGAGGCCATAAAGTTACATAGATTGAGATGGCTAGGTGACGTGATGCGCATGCCTAGCCATCGCCTCCCCCGACGGACGGGCATTACTAGCTGATATAGGTGCAGGTTGGAAAAGAGTAAATGGTGGCCAAACACAAACATGGCCTCATCAATCCATGAAATCCTTGACAGTTAAACTGAGTCAGGTAGTGAGATGCAGACTTCCGGGTTGGGGCCCACCCTCGGGACTCTAAGAATCAATGGCTTGAGACAATAGGTGACATGGCTCGAAATCGTTGTCAATGGCTTACGCAGATGTATTCAGTCTCTGTAATCTTTCATATTCCTTTCTACCATTACTCATTCTGTTTCACTCTTATACTTATCTAAATTCTATTGATTCTCTTCACTCATTTTCTTGTCTACCTTTGTGTGGTATTTGGAACGTGGCAACTGGAACTGCTGCACTTGGGTGCCAAGTTCTATGTTGAATCCAGACAGACAGACAGAATGAAAGAGATGTTGAATACTAGCTGTTGGATCTCATTGGTTCTCTAACTGACATCAATCCATGATCAAACTCGGAAAAAATCAAATGCCTTAAAACTGTGACTCTTAAGAATAAAAAGCAATGCTAATTGACTTGGAGTATATATATAATAATAATCTTATATTAAAGTTTAAACAGATGATGTTTGCTTCTAAAATGAAATCAGGTGTTCAGAGGACTGCATTATTTTTAACATCTTCACCTACAAGAATTATATCATTTGAAGGCTCTAAGTTGATCAGACTACAGTAATGGTTAGTTGGTCAGTACAGACTAGTCCTTCCATAGTGAATAGGAATGGTGATGCTCTCTCACAGCCTTCCTAGTTTGGCTGAACGATAGAACAAGGAGGCGGCTAAGTGAAGAGTCAACCAGAAGGATTGATAGCTACATAATTGCTTCACGCTTAGGACACTAGGCGGAAACTTCTTCTTCCTCCTTAAGTTCAAGATACATGTCCATGTAGACATTTATTTTGTGAGCTACACGTTTTGGATTCATTCCTTTGTCTTCTAAGTGTGGAACAGAGTGTTTCAAGATTAAGGGCTTGAAGTTTCGCTAACCGTAGCGTGGGGTTGTTAGCCACACGCCTAACCTCCCCTCTTTACGGGTCTTGCTGCCAGTTATATGAGGTTTAAAGGGTACATTGGCCGGGAATCGATCCCTGGAGCACTTAAGGTGTGGTTGGCAATCATCCTATCGCTAAACTGTAGCAACACAAGTAGTTACCTTTTTTTTCTCTCCATCAAATTGATTTACTCGAAAAGTCTGAGGATTAGATTTAATTGTACAACTCAGCACAGTACTAGACTTCTGTAACGACCCATATGGACCTCATTAGAGAAACTGAAACTATTATTCCTCCATTTAATTAAATTTTAGATTTTCCCGTCGATTGATTCGACCGAAGTGCTCGGTCTTAGGTTCACATGTCGGCTTCTTGTGCAGATGCTTCGACGATGTCTGGGCATTTAATTAGAATTTAATTGGTGGATGGTGACTAGCAGTGGAATCCACCAGGATAACACGCATTTCGTCCTATTTTGGACTCGTCACCTGGATGCACCTGCATTTCCCAGTGAGTGATGATGTTCCCACCACTGAGGCTCGAACCCAGTGCCTATCGAAGCATCTGAACAAGAAGCCGACATGTCAACCTGAGACCGAGCACTTTGGTCCAATCAATCGACGGGAAAATCTAAAATTCAATTCAATAATTAATATGACCCGTTGCATAAGAAGTGGCTCTCGTGGCCCAAGTGGTCTAGTGGATAACGCTATGGCGTTTGAAACTATGGGCACTGGGTTCGAGCGTCGGTGTTGGGAACATCATCACTCACTGGGAAATGCAGGTACATCCAGTAGTTGACGAGTCTCAGATGGGACGAAATGCGCGTTATCCTGGATGGATTCCACTGCTAGTCACCATCATCCACCAATTATATATTCTTTCTCCAGTTGCTCTTTTCGATTCAAAGTGATATGTATATGTAGACAAAAGGTTTAGAGGATAAAAGTTAACTATTTATTTGGAGATATTTCTCCTCATAACCGTGTGAAGAATTCTCTAGAGAAGAATATTTCCCGTAAGCAGAATAGTTCCCAACAAATAACCAGATATTGTTATTCCCATAGATTCCGAGTGGAACATACGGCTTCGCACAACACATCTCACTTTCATCCTGTTGTCTGCAGTCCTCTTGAGTTTGCTCCGAGACTCCCCTTAAGTTTTCGCTTACTATTCCCATGATCTCCTGAGTATCACCTTCAGACCTATGCACCAACTCGTCATTATCTATCGGAGTTCCACTTAAGGGATTAGCGCGTCATGTTTGTCAACAGTCTTCTCAGCGCGTATTCTATCCATGTCGATATTCTTTGATGTATCTACCAGAGTTCTTTGTTCCCAATCCTTTCTGGTCTGCCATCTGATTGATCTTCAGTGTAGTGTGGAGCCAGAGAAGACACAGCTGTTGATAAAAGTCCGCATTAGCATGCTTGAAATCCTTTTGGTGATGCATCAAGTTTATGAAGCAATATAGAAGAACCGAATGATTTGGCATTAACGTTCCCTATGCTGAATGCAGTAGATATCTAAACTGGGATTACAGATTAATGAAGGTTTGTCTTTGCTGTCTGGTTCAACCTGGCTTTGAAATCTTTATCCGTATATAACCAGAGAGGCGAAATGTAATCTCAACTGATGAAAAGGGTTGTGTATCCAAGGGCTAGTAGAGATCATAGGATAAGAAAATTTATTTTCAAGTATTTGTTTTTGTAGGGATTTTGTTTGTTTGATTGGTTGGAGGATTTCATCATGAGCTAATGTCAGTTAGAGAACCATTGGAAAACCTGGGAGTAATAGACAGCTGTTTCGTCAGCCTAGTTTGGGACTCTTCAGCTCATGATAAAATCACACAAAATCCCTACAAAACCAATACTTGGAAATTCATCTGATGCTCACTAGCGACTGGCCCTATTTAGGTAGGTAGTGGGAAGCCGTGAACAGTAGGGTGCAGCAGGTTGAGGGTGAGGCAGTAACTCATCGAAGAAGACATTGCGAAGTGGTCGTACTATTTCATGAATTGACAGAAGTTATAATTCATGGGCTAGCCATTGAATCGGGTTGTAATGGCTTAATGGTCTATGAGCTCGCTGGCTTTGTAACGAGAAGGTACTGGGTTCGAACCTCGATGGTGAGTGTGTACTGATGAAGAGTCCCAAACTAGGACGAAACAACTAGGTGTCCAGTACCCCCAGGTGGTTTTCCAACGTTCCTCTAACTAATGTCAGCTCATGATGAAATCCTCCAACCAAAGAAGATTTATCTTTTAATAATTTAACAACCTACATTATTTCGAACCGACGTCACTTACATGGCGTTCCTATCAATTACTCCATGTCGTCGCGTAAAAAGTATGTTCAAACCCTTTTTGTTTAGCTGAGAAGAAACTACGAAGTAATAAGGATGATTTTTATCACCAACCAAAATCAGTTAGAGATAACTGAAAACCACGGAGTACTGAACGCATTTGCTTTGTCCCAACCTGGGACTCTTCACCAGTACACAACCACCATCTCTCCAGCAGGGATCGAACTCGGGACCTTCTGATTACGAGACCAAGCTTGCCGATTATCCATCCAATAATGGTTCGTGAATTCTAAACCTGTCTATTCGTGATATACGGTGACCCAGGTCATCGATGGCTACTGGAAGAATGTTTTGAAACTGTACTGAGAAGCTGTGACCACTGGAGTTGATCGTTTCAAAATAAAAGAATACTAATCAAAGGCGCTGGTTGTGAAGGTAGTACTGTATCGCACGAATTGACAAAAGGTCGAATTAGCTGAAGGATTTCATCATGAGCTGACATCAGTTAGAGAATCGTTGGAAAACCAACTGGGAGTACTGGACAGCTGTTTCACTCTAGTTGATTGATATGATGCTCACTAGCGACTGGCCCTATTCAGGCAGGTAGTTACCTGGGGTGAAGGTGAGGCAGTAACTCAACAAAGATGACATCGCGAAGCGGTCACAATATGTCATGAATTGGCAGAAGTTATAATTCGTGGGCTGGCCATTGGATCGGGTCCCAGTGGCTTAATGGTCTATGAGCTCACTGACCTTGTAACCAGAAGGTCCTGGGTTCTAACCCTTGGGGTGGGTGCGTACTGTGAAGAGTCCCAAACTAGGCTGACGAAACATCTTTTCAGTCATCCAGTGTTGGTTTTCCAATGGTTCTCTAACTGATGTCAGTTCATGATGAAATCCTCCAACCAATCAAACAAAGAAAATCCCTACAAAACATACTTGTAAAGTTCGAATTCATGGTTTATTGAATTGTAGCCCAAATGGCTAAATGGTTAACGAGCATGCTGCTCTCGTCGCAACTGATCCCTGATGGGTTGAGGTCGTAGGTGTGCACTTCTGAAGAGTCTCTAAATCGGGCGAAACAACTTTGTTCAGTCCTCCCTGATGTTGTTGGTTCACGATGAAACATATAATGCTACACATTTATCCCTCTTGCTTTGTTTTTTTCTTTTTCTTTTCACTTGTCATTAAATACTTTAAATTTAATTTGTATCAAATGTTTCTCGATTTTTGTACTTTTTCATTTTTTGTTTTTTAATCTTCTAGGCACAGTGGATTAAACATTCATCAATATCGTTATTATGATAGTAAAACGTGTGGTTTTGATGTGGATGGTTGTTTATCTGATTTATCAAAAATACCTAAAGGACATTTTGTTCTACTTCATGCATGTGCACATAATCCAACCGGAGTTGATCCATCTTTTAATCAATGGCAAAAAATTGGTGATGTCTTAAAATCACGTGATTTAATACCATTTTTTGATTGTGCTTATCAAGTAGGTTGAGAGAGAGAGAGTGAGAGAGTACTCTTTGTTATTGTATTATGTTGTGTTTTTGAACTTTTATTGATTAAGTGTGATCATGAACTGGCTGGCTGACTGACTGAGGTCAGTTAAAGAACCATATCAAATCAAGGAGTAGTGAACAGCTGTTTCGTCCCTACTTGGGGCTCTTTATCAGTACGTACCCATGACCCTACCAACCAGGAGTCGAACCTAAGACCTTCAGATCACAAAGCGAGTTACTAGAGGGGGGAGTTCTAATAGCCTATCAATTCGTGACCATTGGAATTCACCAAGATGGGTGTGTGACGACAGACATTGGCCGATACCAGTATCGGCTGGCGGTTGCGCTGTATATCGTGAATCGCCTTGCAATCTGAAGGTCTTGGGTTTCACCTCTGGTTGGTTAGTTACGGGTGCGTGTTACTGAAGAACCCCAAAACAAAGACTACACAACTGTCCAGTATTCCATGTCAGTCACTTCGTTGATCAAAATTGAAATCACTCAAAATTCCTGAAAACCAACACTTAAAATTGTCCACAATTACTTCATAATCGAGAATTTGGGAAGTAATCATTCTTGTCAACACCCTACTGAGATTGTTGATAATAATGGAGAAGGGAATAGCGTACGTAATATGGATTCATTGGCTTTAGTCCTTGATCGTCGTCAACTGATGAACTTCAAGTTCAACTGGATAGTATCGTGTGCCAATTACACAGTGAGTGTGTCTTGTTTGCTGGTGGTACATGGGGAGTTTATTCCAGGTTATTACCTAATAATGTCCAATCAAAGCATCCATTACAGTCCTCAAGGGAAGTCAGTCAATCGCAAGCGTGAATAGTTCAGTGGGTACACCGTCTCTGACTGACTACAAGCAGCATTGGATGATTCGGGTTCGAATCATAGAAGGGACATTGTTAGTTTGTTTTCAAGATTGTAGACACGCCTCGTTGATTGTTGTGAGTGCCAACATGCATGAAATCTAGAGGTTAGGCAAGGGGGCATCCTGACGATTGACTCCAAGCATCTAGCAATAAAAGATTTAAAATTGAGAAAACTGGATCAGCAGTAGAATGTAGGATGTGCATGAGGTACATTAGATGTCTGTTCCGAGTAACTGACAGTGGAAAAAGCAATATAGTTCGATAGGATGTGCGAAATGAAGTGGTGAACAACTTGTTGACCAATTGTTCTCAAGTGGGACCAAACTTAAAAAGAAGTAGCGACTATGGAGTGTGGACTCATCACAATGACCTTGAGCGCCGCATGCCTTTCGTTGAATTACAGAACCTGCCGCGTTATTACAGTGCCAGTATGAGCGCTGTGCATGAAATGTAGTGCGATTTCATCTTGATCTCGTTTTTAAGTACTCTGTTTGGACAATTGAGTTGATAGCAAGTTAGTGTTGTGTTTAGGATTTTGGTTAGGGTCAAGATTAGGGTTAAGGTAAGGATTAAGGTTGGGGTGTTTTATTATAATCATTATTATTATTATTATCTGTGCTTTTCTTGTAAATAAATCTATAGGAGGAAAGTATTCCCTTGTTCATATATAGATGTGAAACCGTTTTTTGATAGCTATGAAACTTGAAGATTGATATCCTTCTTTGTAATTACTATTATAGATACTCTTTCGATAAATTCATCATCAGGCTCTACAATTATATATACATTATAGTGAGTGAATGAATTACTGTTATGAATGACATTAATGCCATTGTTTAAATAACATCGAATCAATACATCAATGAACAGCTCAATTATCAAGAAAGATAATATTACAAACATGAGTCATAGTCTCTACTGAAGGCCAGGGCAGTACTAGGGGCTGGACTTGTTTCTTTTGCACACAAATCAATGGTTGTTTCATGCGAACTCCGATAGCCTCTGCTGTTTGAAGCATGTGGTACTTCGATGTTTTCGGCATTTGTTTGGTATCCTGTAGACGATGGAGAAGGATTCGTCTACGCTGGCTTTGTCACCGTTGCACCAGATGGTCTAATATCGAGCTGTTAATAGTTTTAACTACGCCTTCACTTAGCCATAGTGGGATATGTTCTCGAGCACGAAAAATCAAGTTCCTAGAGCAACGGCCAATATAACTCGCTCCACAAGCGCAGTTGAATTGATAGATACAATTTGAAGTGGCTAGTCTAGGTACTTCATCTTTCAGTCGAGGTAGCACCATCGGTCGTGTAGAGAATAAGAGTGAGTTCACCAGCATTAAAAGTCTTTGAAGATTCTGTAGTCGTATATATAAAGGCTTCTTGTTTACAGACAGTGGTAGTCTTTTCCGTTTCTTTGTATGTGTTTTTGATAAATTTTGATACTATTGTAATTATATGCTATAGCTCTAACTCTGTGGATGAGGGTCTTTACTAAATTTCTTTTGTACTTGGGAGGAACGAAGCTGTGAAAATGTGTATATTGTCCTGTCCAAGTGCTTTTTCTATGCAAATTTCTTTTTATGCTACCATCTAGTTTTCTTGTAAGTAGGACGGGATTCAGGAAAGCAATTCTGTCTTGGGATTCCTCTTCGCATGTGAATTTCATCGAATGTACTTCATTGAATTCAGTAATTATTGTACTCCTATCAGAACCATGAATTTGTACTATTATCGTTCATAATTCTTCTGACATTCAGCTTATTTTATTTTGATGCTATTCAGCTGTAATCTATGAATATTATTGATTCGATGTTATTAATGTTGTTCATAACACTAATTCATTCATTCACTATAATGTATATATAACTGTAGAGCCTGGTGAAGAAGAGGTTATCGAAAAGAGTACTCTTTGTTCAGTGTTCATTCTTTTGAAAATTACTATTATTATTATTCCCTTGGGTTTCGAGTGGAACATAGGGCTTCAACAACACATCTCCACCTCGTTCTCTTCTCTACTATCCTCTTCAGCTGGGCTGGCTCCACGGTTGACCATAATCTGTTATCTCCTCCGCCTCCCCACACGATTTCCACTATGTCACCCTTGACGTAATAACCCGCTCGTCGCTTCCCATTTGGATTCCACTCAAGCAATGCCCTACAGTGTGCACAATGTCATTCGATGGTCTCCTCAGCTTATGCCCGATCCATCTCCATTTTCTCCTACATACTTGTTGAACAATCGGCTCTCGCCTGTTGGTTTGTTCTACTGCAAAGTTTCTTGTTGCTAATTCTTTCTGGCTAGTCATTTGATGCTGAGTATGGAGCCGGTGTTGATAAGATTCTGAAATGACCTGTTGGAAATCCTTTTCGTGACACGCAGTGCAACTTTCTGACCTGCATTGAAGAACTGACTGACTGACTTCCCATTTGTGTTGAACAGAATCCGAATCTTGTTGTTTATGCTGAGGCGGAGTGCAGAAGATTTCCAAACATGGTTTCAGGTTGATGAAGGCGTATCTTACTTTTCCGATTCTGACTTTTGACATCTCCATCCGTTCCGTCTGTAGTTGAAAACGTGCTTCCTAGCCAGATAAGTGAAGGAAGTAACCTCTGTCAAATCTCTCCCTTTGGTGATGATTGGTGCTGGTTGTTGTTGCTGTTGCTGCTGGTTGGTTGGTTATCTTCATCACCTCCATCTTTTCTATGTTCACTTGGAGTCCGGTCTTCGCTGCCTGCCTCCTTCTCCAGCCAGTTAGTTGTTTTTCGCCTGCGAGTCTTCGAGTTTGTGTGACATTAGACATAAATCATCCACGTGCGAAATCCAGATCTTCTAGAGTCTTCTGATCGGTCCGACGTGTTCCTGTCATCTCACTCCTTGTTCACAGTCTGACGCATAATCCAATCCACCACAATTATGAATATCATCGTGGGTGATAATAGGCAGCCAGCCTTGTCTTATTCCTGTATTCACTTCGAACGCCGTTGTGGATCAGCTGACATGTGGCATTGTCACATAGCTGTGCTGTTGAATAAGGTTCTAATAAAGATTTGGGGCACTAAACGCCGTAGTGTTGAAGCAGTTTCCAAATTACTTCTCCGTCAATGCTGTCTGTCGAAGGTCTTCTTTACAATTGGGGGTGGGGATGGTATTTTACAGATACGACAGAGTAAAATATCGTCTTTAATGTGTTTCTTTATTATTGTTATGTTAATTTTTCTCGTAAATAAACGACTACTCGTTGTATAATACACTGTAGGTTCTGTTCACTGACGAAATTTAAATAAACAAAACGAATGGGGATTATCATACTTTAGTATAGGGACGGATTAAGAAGAAGAGGGGTTGAACAAACCATTTTTCGTATGCAGAAGTCTGGCATTTCTATTTCGATGATGGCCAAAAGCTTCATCAGTACAACAGATGAGTCAAATACATAATGTGAAAGTATTGGTTTTGTAGGATTTGTTTGATTGGATGGAGGATTTCATCATGAGCTGACATCAGTTAGAGAACCATTGGAAAACCAACACTGGAAGACTGGACAGCTGTTTCGTCAGCCTAGTTTAGGACTCTTCAGCAGTACGCACCCACCACTGGGACCTGATCCAATGGCTCAATGGTCTACGATCGGTTCGCCTTGTAACCAGAAGGTCCTGGGTTCGAACCTTGGTGGTGGGTGCGTACTGCTGAAGAGCCCCAAACTAGGATGAAACCGCTGGCTGTCCAGTACTCCCAGGTGGTTTTCCAGTGGTTCTCTAATGATATCAGCTCATGATGAAATCCTCCATCCAATCAAATACATAATGATTTGAGCAAGTTATTTTCTGCTCTATTACATAACTAACTTTAAAGGAAAAGGTTGTGTAGAAATAAGATGACCAGTATCGACCATCAGATGGTCAATTATTGTGCTTCTTACAGCCTCACTTCTATCTCTTCTTAACCACATAGGATAGTTTTCTTGCACTGATCGATATACCTAGCTCCACAAGAGCAGGTAACTTGATAAACGCACACACAGAGTTGGTCAACTGCAGGAGCTTATCCTTTAGGAGGTTCTTGAATAGTAATGGTCGACGAGAAGCTGCTATTCTCAACGATGCTGTCTGTCTGTATTGAGTGTCCTTTTCAGGGACTGTGAGATTCTTCTTTTTTGAGTATGTCGGTAGCTAAGTCACCTTTGAATCCAAGGTGGTTACAGACGCTAAATCACACTTCACATAAGTTTTAATAGTATTGTTCGTGTATATAAAACGTGGCGGAAATCCATTTTCCATTAGGCTGTTTCTTAGATCGTTCAACTCTTGTTCCACAGTATCAGGACTTTATATGCACTGAATGCTAGTAGCAAGTGATTGAATCAGCGTTGGGGAGGCGGGGGGCGGTACCCAGCTGTGTAGATTTAAGAGTATTATCCTGTATATTCTTTTCCTCTTGACAGGGATTCGCTTCCGGGGATATTGATAATGATGCTAAAGCGATTCGTTATTTTGCCAATGAATTAAAATTTCCAACTATGCTGCTTACACAAAGTTTTGCTAAAAATATGGGCCTATATGGTGAACGTGTTGGTGCTTTCACTTTGTTGTGTTCATCTGCTGAAGAAGCTGAAAGGTGTTTATCACAGATTAAGATAATTATTCGACCAATGTATAGTAATCCACCGATACACGGGGCTCGTATCGCTGCTGAGCTGATGTCAAATCAAGAATTACGTCGAAAATGGTAAGATGCTTTTATTTATCTTTTGGTAATAATAATAATCTACTTTGTTCTCTAGTAGGGTTTCACGTAATAAATTTAATTCTTTCTCTATCGTGTCTTCCGAATGGATTTTTTTAATCCTTGAACTTACTATGCTTTACCAGGTTTTGCTTTCGGATAAATGGAACGATGCTCTGGAAGTTGATAAACTATAATTAATAGTGTTCTCTGAGCTGGTTGGTTTGGTTGCGGAGCTTTCGTCGTCCCCCTGCTGGACAACATCTTCAGCGCGATATTTAGCATAAAGTGAAATGATTTAAATTTCTTCATGAGCGGTGATAGAATTGCGTCTCCCGGCAACCATCTTTACATATTTATTGACCATTTTCTATTGATAAACTGTCTCGTCCATGTTGACTTGAGATATATCTATCTTTAGATTGTATAGTCTTTTCTTCTGGTTAAGTAGTACATCGAGGAATGGAAATGCCAATGTTCGATTCACTTTCTAAGGTAAATTTTATTGATCGGTGTGCTGCGTTGAAGGTTTTGAGGAGATACTCTAAATCAACTTTTTCATCACAAATTATGAACGTGTCATCTACGTATCTCCTGTATAAGTGCAGTTAACTTATCAAAGGATCGAAGATGTTGTTTTCGAAACTCCGGTATGAAGCAGTCAGCTAGGAAGTGGATCAACAGGAGACCTCATAGCTACACCATCTTTCTGCAATATTGAATTGTTAAGACCAATATAGAATTACATATTTAATTCAATTTTAGATTTTCCCGTCGATTGATTGGACCCCGAAGTGCTCGATCTCAGGTTGACATGTCGGCTTCTTTTGCAGATGCTCCGACGAAACTATGAACACTGGGTTTGAGCCTCGGTGGTGGGAACATCATCACTCACTGGGGAATGCAGGTACATCCAGATGACGAGTCCCAAATAGGACGAAATGCGCATCAAGCTGGATTCCATCCACTGCTAGTCACCTTCCACCAATTAACTTTCAATAGAATTACAGTTAGAAATTATGCGTAAGTGTTGTAATGCGCATAAAAATGTAATACGAAGTTGAAAATCAGACAAAATTAGGCATAAAATTTGTCAGGCAATTAAAGATGGTTAAAACAAGAGTAAAAAGGCTTAAGGGGAAAAGAAAACATTCTTAAATTACAGTAACATTGTAAGTAATGATGACCAACGTGTAAGGGAAGCGTATGAACTAATTTCTTATGAACCTCTACAAGTTTGACCTCTTTAAGTGTGGATTCCGATTAATTCAACGGTATGTGAAAGACGAAATCGTAATGCAAGGCTAATATTTTTTTTCTTAATAATAATGATCTGCTTTATTCCAAGATACAGTACTTATAATGCAGAATGGAATTCTCAGAATTTTTCACACATATTGCATCTGATTTACTCGAAATATAAATAAGATTAAAAATTAAAACAAAATTAACCAGAGGAATTTGTCCACATTTACGATATAAAGTCAAAAATATTCGAAGTATGAATTGAGAATCTTAAATATTATAATAATAGTAAAAGTGAGTTTGTTTCAAACAGTATTGCCGATTCAGTTTGGAAATTTCAGCATGTTATAGATTATCGGATCTAATGTTCTGTTGATATAGTATAATGGTGAGGGGAAATACAAAATTAACAGTTATAACACAGCTTAAATTATGTCCATACTTATGAAAATAAAAATAAAAACAAAAATTGAGAGGATTATAAATATAAAAAATACAATAACAATAAAGTTTTATGTTGTAAGGGTGGAGGGAATGGTTTATTCAATAGTGCAAAGAAGGTTAGTTAGTTCATGCCTAACACTATTTCCGTCACATAAAATAAGTGCCGCCAAAATATGGCATAGTGGAATTTTTATACTTCGATGTACGTGCATAAAGTCTTTTGAAGAAACTTGTTTTACCAAGATGATATCAAGATTAAGTAAATACCAAGATGAGTCAGTAGATTGGATAATGCGACAAACAGCGGGCAATGAGGAAACAGGCATAAAATGGACTCACACAAAAAACTTGGAGGATCTGTACTTCGCCGATGATATATGTCTGATTTCCCACAAACTGGAAGATATGCAAGCGAAAAGCAACAAGTTGGCCAAAGAAGCATCAAAGATAGGACTTCAGGTGAACATAGAGAAAACAGAGGTGATAAAGATTCCTCGACAAGAACAACAACAACAGACAACGATCAGCATAAATGGGAGGAACCCAAAAGAAACAACCTCTTTTACCTACCTGGGAAGCATCGTTTCAACCACAAGCAGACGGAACTGACGAGGATATCAAAGCAAGAATCGATCGGAAAAGCAAGACAAGCTTTCACTACTCTCAAGTCAGTGTGGAGGTCAACAGCACTCACCATCAAAAATAAGATCCGGATTTTCAACTCCAATGTGAAGTCAGTGCTACTCACTGTACGGATCAGAGACTTGGCTAGCGCATCATAAACAGCATCTCAAACAAACTACAGACCTTCATTAACAGTTGTCTTCGCTCAATATTCAAGATCAGATGACCAGCCAGAAAAGATCAGCAACAGGGATCTCTGAGAGCGAACCAACCAGGAGCCGATTGTAAAACAAATAGGCAGGCAGAAATGGAGATGGATTGGCTGGCCATACTCTGAGGAAACCATCGAGTGACAAGCCATTACTCGAGTGTAACCCGAAAGGGAAGCGGCGAGTTGGTTGTCAGTGCAAAGGTGACTTGGAGGAGGTCATGTGATGAGGAGATGAAAACGTGTGGGCAGACTTGGAGCCAGGTGAAGACTCTAGCAGAGAACCGAACGCAATGGAGACGTGCAACTGAAACCCTATGTTCGTCTAGGAATTAAAGGAAACAATAATAAGATGAGTCAACTCTAAGGCGTGTAATTCATCATTGTTCTTAACTGGCTGGCTCACATCAAACATGAATATTATTTCAGCATAAAGCGAAAAAAAAAAACAACAATCTAAAAACATGTCACAACAAAACTTTTGTTTTACTTTTTATGTGTGTGTGTGTGGGGGTGGTGGTGGTGGCGGTGAGGGTATATAGGTAGGTGGGTACTGGACACACTACCACTGGGTCGTCGTCAGTTGTCTAGACAAAAGACTGAATAACTCATGTGAACTAGAGTGACACACACGCATACACACACAGTTTAATACAAAACTATGATCGTTGTCTTTGTGACACAAACACACATACACACATTACATTTCTTCACGTTTAAATGTTCACGGCCTAACTACAGTCAAAGACACAATGTCTATTGTTCACAGTATGATCTAGAGTATGCTTGACCCAGACAAATGTAATATGTATACTGGTCAAACAAAGAGAACGGTATTCAATTCTCTTCTCCTTCTACCTCTTCCTCGTCGTCATGTTTTCTCTCGCTTTAATGTAAAAGAAAAAATGTTTTAAACACAGACAGTGAACTTTCACATTGATGATATTTCACTGATATAGAAACCAAGTCTGAAGTTAAGTATCTTGGATTAATTCTTTCTTCTGACCTATCCTGGTCCTCCCATGTCTTAGCGATTTCTAAAAGAATATTTCGTCTGACATTTTACATTAAGAAGTTAAGGCACTCAGGCATAACTCAACCACTCCTCCTCTTACAGTTTGTCAACTCGTGTATTTTACCTATTCTTCTTTACTGTTCACCCTTACTTATTCTTTCCTGGATTGCTTAAAAAATGACTATGTCATACTTCGTAGAACTCTGAAGACTAGCTGTCAGTAGAACGAGTGGTATCCCATTGAGTCATATCGTTGACATTGTCACTGATGAAGGCACTTGATGTCATGCAACAAATTCGCTAAAGGAATTTTGTCAGACTGTGAGCACCCACTCTACCCGCAGCTCCAACCTTGTGTCTCCTCAGGTAAAAGTCTTTTCAGAAGACTTTATGCACGTACGTCTAAGTATAAAAATTCCACAATACCATATTTGGCACGTACTTTATGTGATGAAAATAGTGTCAGACATGAACTAACTAACCTTCTTTGCACTACTAAATAAACCATTTCCTCCACCCTTAAAGCATCAAACTTTATTGTTATTGTATTTCTTAAATTTATAATCCTCTCAATTTTTTGTTTTGTTTATTTTTTTTCATAAGTGTGGACATCATTTAAGCTGTGTTATAACTGTTAATTTTGTATTTCCCCTCACCATGCTGCTATATCAACAGAACATTAGATTCAATAATCTATAACATGCTGAAATTTCCAAACTGAATCGACAATACCGTTTGAAACAAACTCACTGTTATTATTATTATTATATTTAAGATTCTCAATTCGTGCTTCGAATATTTTTGACTTTATATCGTAAATGTGGACAAATTCCTCCGGTTAATTTTGTTTTAATTTTTAATTTTATTTATATTTTGAGTAAATCAGATGCAATATATTGTGACAAATTCTGAGAATTCCATTCTGTATTATAAGTACTGCTGTTTTTGGAATAAAGTAGATTATTATTTTTTTAAAGTTTTGCAGAAATTTTCTGCCGATTGATCGATTAAGATCAACTCACGTGTGTGTAACACACAGTAGTGCGGCGATTTAAAAAGCGGATTGTGCTTCGGTGATGTCCGCTCATGATGAAATCCTCCAACTAAATTTTTTTTTGAAATTTAATGATGAGTTCAACTCAGTAAGAAGTGAAATGTTACAAGGAAGCACACGAACTAAACAATTACAGTTTACAGGGTAGTGGAAGAGAGAGAGATTAGCCATACTGCAACAACAGAAGACAAGAGTCAGGCAACAGATCGTTTGGTTACAGGATTTCATCATGAGCTGACATTAGTTAGAGAACCATTGGAAAACCTGGGAGTACTAGACAGCTGTTTCGTCCTAGTTTTGGACTCTTCATCAGTGCGCACCCACCCACCGCCAGGGTTCGAACCCAGGAACTTCTGGTTATAAGGCGAGCTCGTATACCATTAAGCCACTGGGACCCGATCCAATGGCCCAATCAATCAAAATCCCTACAAACCAATACTTGAATAACAGATCGTTTGTTGAGAAAATCAAGAGATATTTATAAATTTTTGTAAACATTATTATTCTTTATTTGTAAAAATTATGTATTTGTAAAGTCTCAGCGAAATTGAAATGATTAATTCCAACGTTTCCTGTGTCCGGCAATCTGATCCGAACTTCTTCAGGGAAATTAATCGAAATTTACATAACAGAGGTCTATATATAAAATGGGGACATCTCTTGTTTTTAAAAACTTTGTCTAATCATATGAGTCATGAAACAGGCATCAATGTGTATAATAAACAAAATTGTATGAACTCTGATCGTTATTGATATAAGTGTAAAACTTGGGCATTGTGGTAGAGTATAACTCCATTATGGATAAGATTTTATTTTGATAAAGTGTCACACAGTGTTATACAGTAATATTAACTGATGACCACGTTTCGAGCACAAACTATTGCTACTCATAATCACATCAAGTTATTATTAGCAGAGAGGCAGCGTCTTCTGATTGGTTGATTTCACACTGGAAGTTGTTCTGTCATCTCTTTGTGACCGTTTCTGTGATGGTCAGACCATATATATATCTGTTAATCTTTGTAAAAAATTTATATTTGTAAAGTCTCAGCGAGATTGAAATGAGTAATTCCAACGTTTCGTTCAGCAATCTGGTCCGAACTTCTTCAGGGAAATTAATCGAAATTAACATTACATAGGTTAATATATAAAAAGGAACATCACTTGTTTTTAAAAATTTGTCCAATCATGAGCTCATAAATATTTTGTTTATTATACTTGTTGATACTTTTTGAATGACTCATGATTGGACAAATTTTTAAAAACAAGTGATGTTCCTTTTTATATATAAACCTATGTAATGTTAATTTCGATTAATTTCCCTGAAGAAGTTCGGACCAGATTGCTGAACGAAACGTTGGAATTACTCATTTCAATCTCGCTGAGACTTTACAAATATAAATTTTTTACAAATGTCTACTTCTCACTCGGCGCCCAAATATTTTAGAACTATTCTGTCAAATCTTGACGACAGTTCATTTGAATATCTGTTAATCGTATCCGCCCACGCTAAGTCTGCTGTGATTGGTTGTTGAGCTAGTCTTTGTTCTTGTTTTTTTTCTCATGACCAAGATTTGAGACGTAAACATTGTCATAAATTGCTGTCTACCAATTTTGGCTAGCAGACAGCTCTCATCACAATACTATTTTTTTTGTATATACAGGTTGGATCGAAGTCTTTTGATGATAGCAATGACTTCTGCTGAACCGTAGTAAACGTGAGGTTCTCTTTGTGTATTGATTATTTGCAAATCCTAACTAATTTCTACTGAATGTCCCCTGTGTCAATTAGGTGTGTCTGCTGGCAGTTGTTGCACTTGAGAACACTTTGCTGCCTTTCATCATCATATAGAGACTTTTAGGGGGGGGGGATATGCTCAGAAATTCTAGTAGATGCTGTCCTCTCAGTCCTTCTTATGTATACTTGTTATGGCAAGTGCAAACGAATTGGTAAATACAGTTGGCGATGACATAAGAAGGAGACTTATCCACTTTTGACTGAGTTAATTAGCATACTGTGTTTTTTTAGAGTGGAATCAGTCTGGCTGGCGGCGGGAAATGTTCTCTTCAATACATCTTCTTCCCGTTTCTACGCTAGACAGATTTCTTTTCAACTATTTGAGATTTCGGTCTAGGTGTTTTTTTTCTTTCATTTTACTTCCATAGTTTAGGATGAACACTTTCGGGGATATCCCTTTTCTGGATAAGGCGCTTTTCGATAATGGCTAGTGTATTCTTCAATTGGTATTTTCTGAACATAACACCCTAACTATTTATTTTATCATCCTTTGGCGTGTGCTACTGATAAGATTTATCAGTAGTATATGTATAGAAAGATGTTCATTGGCATAAAAATATCAAATAGCGGAGAGATAGATTTGATGTCATAGGAGACATGACAAGAAGACAAGCCAACACAGTACGAAGGGGGGGGGGGAAGCAGAAGTAGCAGGCACAACATGGAAGATCTGTGCAAATGATGGTTTGCAGATAAGGTGTGGATAATTTGCCTATATAGAGATATCAAATTCCAAAGAAACATTCTGTTAACAAGTCTCTCATCTTCTATGTGTGCTATTGTTATTATTTTCTTGGGTTCTGAGTGGAACTTAGAGCTTCAACAACACATCCCCACTTTGTTCTATTCTGTGCTGTGCTTTTCAGCTGGGTCCACGAATGGTCATAATCTCTTATCTCTTCCAGTTTTTACGATTTCCTCCATATCACTCTCACACTGACGACCCACTCGTCGCTTCCCATTTGGATTCCACTCGAGCGATGGCCTGGCTGGCGCGCGATGTCATTCGACGGTTTCCTCAATGTGTGCCCGACTGATACATCTCCACTTTCTTCTACATATTTGTTGATCAATCCGCTGTCACCTGTTGGTTTGTTCCACTGTAGAGTTTCCTGTTTCTAATTCTTTCTGGTCGGCCATTCGATCTTCAGCATGAAGCAGCCAGTGAAGGGGTCGGTTACTGATTAGAGACTGAAAGCTGTCGGAAATGCTTTTCATGACACACACGCCAAGTTTCTGACCCATATTGAAAAACTGACTGACTCACTGACTTCACATTTGTGTTGAACAGGATCCGAATCTTGTTGTTTATGCTGAGGCGGAGTGCAGAAGATTTCCAAACTGGTTTTCAGGTTGATGAAGACGTATCTTGCCTTTCCCATTCTGGCAGGCTGGTGTTGACATCTTCATCGGTTCCGACTGCCTGTGGTTGAAACTGTGCTTCCTAGCCGGAAACGTGAAGGAAGTCACCTGTTAAGGCATATTGACATTGAACGTTGTTGCATTGACCTTGGTAGCCATTGGCGGGCAACCTGAAGGCGCGAATGGTTCGATCGTGTACAAGTTCGAAGAAGACGAATAAAAGTACATTATAATTTTGTATAAAACATTAGTTTATAGACTTGTAATTGTCTTTACTTTAATTGCCAAACAATATAACTTACAATCGAGTACTGGGGTTTTGGAGTTGATGTAAAGACAAGTACATAGTAATTATCGGTTCAGAGCGTCTTCGTTACAATAGGAACTTAGGGTTTAGTCCCTTGATTTCATCTCTGTTGAATCTCTCCCTTTGGTGGTGATTGGTGCTGGTTGTTGTTGGTGGTGATGGTGGTTGCTTATCTTCATCACCTCCGTCTTGTCTATGTTCACCTGGAGTCCTGTCTTCTCTAGCTGCTTCTTCAACCAGTTTGTTGGTTTTCGCTTGTAGGCCTTCGCGTTTGTATGATATTAAACATAAATCATTTGCGAAATCCAGATCTTCTATAGTCTTCTTATTGGTCTGGTGTTTTCCTGTCTTTTCACTCCTTGTGCACAGTCTGACGCGAAATCCGGTCCACTACAATTAAGAATACCATGCCTTGTCTTACTCCTGCATGCAATTCGAATGCCTCGCTGAGTTTTCCGTTGTGAATCACCTGACACGTGTCATTGTCGTACAGCCAGCTGTTAAATAAGGCTGAGAAGAAGTTTCCAAATTACTTCTCAGTTAACGCTGTCGAACGCCTTCTCAGATTCGATGAAGTTGTTGAGGTATGCGGTTCGACTACCATTCTATGCTTTGTTCTGTGATGATGATGAAGATGCGTAGACTTACAATTTGATCAGCACATGATTTGCCTTTCCTGAATTCAGCTTGTTCCGGTGGGTGGTGGAGTTCTGTATCCAGTGTAACTCTTGCTATTACTACTAATCTGTTATTCTACGTAAAAAAAAACAGATGTATCCACCGCATAACTGGTTATCATTGTAACGATAACAGGTATTCTATTTTATTATTGTATTTTGAATACCTAAAGCAGAGCAATTTATTGAAAAGAATATTCTTTTTCGTTCAGATTGACTTTTCAATTCACATAAATCTATAAGAATATTACACATCACACGATTAAATCTTTTTATATTTCTAAAAGGCTTGCAGATGTCAAAACAATGGCTGATCGTATTATAACAATGCGGAAAAGTTTAAAAGATAATCTAAGCAAATTAGGATCAAATCGTGATTGGTCGCATATTACTAATCAAATTGGAATGTTTTGTTATTCTGGTTTGAATCCGGAACAAGTGAGTTTTATTGATTTGTTGTGTTAACCTCATTGAGTACTCCTCTCTGTGTATCTGTCCATTTGATAGACTAGTCCATTGACCGATGATATTTCAATATAGCTTGTTTGATTTTCACAGGTGCCTCATCGAAGCTGAAGTGTATTACAGTCGACACTAGTTTATGACTGTAACTATTTTGATGTGGTTGTGTTCTCTGAGCTGACTGCATAGTTAATTTGCGAAGCTTTCATTGCCCCTTACTAGGTGACATCTTCAGCGCATACTTCAGTTTGAAGTGAGCTTTTAGATTTCTCCACGAGTTTATTAATCATCTCTCCTGGCGGGTGACCTTGAACGTGATTGGTTGTTTTTGTGTGTCTTCACACCTTCTAGGCTACTTGTACTGGATTGAATAATTCTCTGAATTGAACTTTGACCCTTTGTGTGTGAGGTTTCTTTCTTATCGGTTGATAAATTTTGTCTATCTGGATGTGTCTATTGATTGATGATTCACTGGAATGCCAAGCTTCTAAAAATTCTCTAGCATTCTTGTTGTTTCCTCTGTCTGTCGCTCAACAGAGAAAGAAGATAAAACCAACATCATCTACAAAATAGATCGTATCAACTGCAAAAATTTTTTTGATTACAGCTTGATTCCACACCGTATTCTATGGTACAGGTATGGAATTTTCAGCATGTGATATCGGTAGCCCAAATTTTGCAGGCCGACCATAGATATCAGGTGTTCGTCGGCAGGGGATCGAACCCCGGACCATGTGCATGATTGACGAGCGTCCTAACCACTGTGCCACCGACGCACAACAACACTACATTGGCCAAAGTAGATGTCCCCTTCGTCTTCGTATCCACGAACATAAGCTAGCCGTCAAAAGACATGATATACACTCCCTCATATCACTACATACAGACAACCACAGACGTCAATTCAACTGGGACAACGTTCAAATATTAGACAGAGGAAACACCTGGAATGTTAGGGGATTTTTAGAAGCCTGTTATTCCAGTGATTCGTCAGTCAGTAGACACATCCAGATAGACAAAATTACCAATCGATAAGATGGAAATCTCACACACAAAGGGTCAAAGTTCAAGTCAAAGAAACAATCACTCCCAATACAAGTAGCCTAGAAGGTGTGAAAACATACAAAAACAACCAATCACGTCCAAGGTCACCGGGAGGGGTGATTAATAAACTCGTGGAGAAATCTAAAAGTTCACTTCAATTCAAATTGAAGTATGCGCTGAAGATGTTGCGTGATAGGGCAATGATGAAAGCTTCGCAAATTAACTATCCAGCTAGCTCAGAGAACGCAACTACATCAAAATAGTAAGTAGTTTCATGCATGCATACAAGCTGGAGATTGCTTTTTAAATTAAGCGATTTGTGAGGATTTGAATGTGCACCACCGCTGAAGAGTAACGAACGAGCTGAAAACAGCTTACATCAGTTAACCTCCTGGTGGTTTCTAAAATAGTCTCTCTAACTTACTAACTAACTAACTAATGTTGTTTCACAGCGAAATCTAACCACTGAAATTGCGATGAAGTTTTTTTGTATTTCTCAGTGAATAAATGAAAAACAAAACCATATTGTCGCATTTACTGACGTTTCGCTGTTTAATGCTGCTGCTAATCGCTTTATCAAAGTAGTAATATTAAACCAGAATTTACAAAATCCACTCAGCTTATATGTAACAACGCAATCATCATTACTCAGTATGGGGTCATTTTTCTCGTTGTCAAATTGGCCAATTGATAAAGATAACAAAACCATGATTTGTAGATTGTTGGATTTGATAAGTGTGTAAAATTATAAAAGCAACGTGTGTGTTTACATAATGAAATTGCTTATCATATTCGTGTTGATTTTGCCACTTCATGGGGGAGAAGGGTGTTGTAACTAGGTCAAATTCTGTTTTAGTCCATCATTCCTATTCAGACAATTTAAATTCCACTTGATATGAAGTGCTTCTGATGACATCAGACGTTCTTTGTGATTTCTGATAGTTTTCTGCATTATTTCAATATTGTCAAAATCAATTTTGTGACGTGATTCTATGGCGTTTAGACCTATGGTTGATGATTTTCCAATCTTTTCTAGTTCACTAACTGGATTTCTCGGTGGTTGGTCAAACAGATACTCTACGGCTTTCATTTCTTCTGATTACCTTGATTTCTCTCTGGCGATGTTTGTCCGATGAATATCGCATCACACATTCGAAGCATTTTATTTTATAGACACAATTAGACTGAGAATCTTTAGGGATTTGGTCTTTTATATGGACAAGGTTGTTTCGTAGTGTGTCTGATGTTTTGAAGAAAACTCTAATGTTGAGCTTATTGAGTAATCTTCTGATATCGCCTGACGTCTCCGGTCTATATGGAATGACTACTGTTTGAGGTCCATGTTTTTCGGAATACGTTTTCGACCATACTTAATGTCAGTGTTGATTTTGTCGATGAAGTTCTTTGGGTAGTTGTTTTGCTTGATATTTCTACTTCTTTTTCTTTCTTATCCGTTAACATCAAAGAGTGTGCTCGTCTAAGAAGATTTGAAACAACTGGTGACTTTGCGCTGATGGGATGTGATGATTTGAAGTCTAAATATTTGTTGGAGTAGGTTTTCTTCCTGAATATAGGTATACTAAAATGTCCGTTTTCCCTCCTCTTAACTAGGCAGTCTAGAAATGGTAGTTCACCGACGTCTCATTATATTTCCGAAGTAAACTGGATTCTGGGAGATAGATTGTTTATTTTCTCCAATAGTGAACTATGTAAATCTCGTTGTAGCACTATAAAAGTATCATCTACATATCTTAACCATATTTTAGGGGTGAATATGCTTGAAAAAGATGTTATCTTCGAATCTGTTAATAGTGAACTTTGTTTGGACATATATAACAGTGAAACTGCAAGTTTAATCATTGCTCGCCGCTTTTATGCACACCTTGTTGTTATTCTTGTAATACCCTTCCTAGTTTTTACTAATCTGCTCTTTTTCTCCCTTTCTCGAAAGGTTGACAAGCTGACTAACGAATATTCAATTTATCTAACTAGAGATGGACGTATCAGTATTGCTGGACTGTCATCGAAAAATGTTGAATATTTAGCGCATGCTATGCATCAGGTCACCAAGTGATTAAAAATATCTATTCAACGGTACTGGTGGGTGAAGTATTATTCCACCACCATCCATCTCGATCCCCCCCCAGCCGTTTTTCGTGATCGATCAGGTTTTATACATATATACATACATATATACAGCCAGTGCGCACAAAGTCGTCTAGGAGTCTTACGTTTTCCACTATATTTGTCTGTCATTCCTGTTGATGCGTTCCATCATACCCCCACAACACTCGTGACTATTAGTATTATTATTATTATTTTGAAAAAGTGTATCCCAGTGACTTTGTAAAAAAGATCACCGGTGTGAAAGTGATTTTATTATTATTGTTGATTGTCTTTTTCATGTGCCCCCCTCTGTCTCTCTCTCCGTGCCCCTCTTTTATGATTCGTTGATTGATTGTCTTTGTGCTCAACAAATTATATGCATAAATTGTCTGAGATATTGTCTTGTCTTTTTTGAAAGTTGAAATAATCGTTGAAATTGGCAAAACATTGTGATATAAATTTGTCTATTGATCATCCATCCTTCGATAGATTCTGGAACATAAGCGTACTACTCACACCGACGTTGAATAATATGGAATATTTGTTGACTTGAAGACGGCTGTATTCCACTCTGTCCCACTGATCAAGATAGAAGGTACTCAAACTTATGCAGCTTTGATGATAATCAGTGGTGTTCGTAAGGGGATGACCACAGTCCCCTTTGGTGTTTCATTTCATCATAAATGTACTAATGGAATCGTGCCTAACTGGTTTAGGGAGTGACTTGTTACCATCAGGGAATAGTATTGTTGACTTAGAGTATGCAGATGATATTGTTGTACTCTTAGGTGAAGATGGTGATAAAATGTAGAGTCTTCTCAGCACACTTTGAGCAGAAATCTTCAAATGTTTAGCATGTGATTTCGCTGCTGTCAAATGTAACATGGTGTTGTAGGACTGGACTGCACCAACACCTAGCTTAAAGATATTGGAGTGAAGTGATTGGGAAGTGGGCAATATTGAGTTTAGGCGTCGACTGCTAGGTAAGGAGGGAGGGGAAATCAATAGACGAGGAGGTTGTGAAGCAGCTGCATTGATTAAGATGGTTAGGACATGTGTTACGCATGCATCCCTAGCCATCCATGCCTTCCTCGACAAAGGGCAATGTTAGCTGACATAAGGTCAGGTTGGAAAAGAGCTAGCACATGGTGGCCAAACCAGACACGTAGGGAGACGTAGACTTCCTGGTTGGTGTCCTCGGGACGGTAAACACCAATGAAGGCTGGAGACAATTGGTGATATGGCTCAAAGTCATCGTTCTCAATGGCTGGTGCAGATGCATCCACTCCTTGTGATTTATAATTTCTAATAAAACTATATTGTTCTTCGATATTACTATTCCGTTTGCCTCATATCTCTGTTTACTGTCTCCATTTTGCATTTCTTCTACTTTCTTCTCTTGCTTTATGTGCCACGAGGAGGGAGTGTGGCGACTCGAACTGCTGCACATCGGTGCAGAGTTCTCTGTTGAAACCCGTCAGATTGGGAAGTTACATTAACCATCCCCATAACGAACTATTGATTGTTGACGAAATCTCAGCTAACAGATACAAAAGGCTCACGTATGACATTTGCCAACTTACTTTAACTTTTGCGTAGATGTTGTGATATTCGGTTATCTGTCAAAGGATATGTGTACTGAGCAACGGTTTATGAGATATGGCGATTAAATTTGAAAGAATATATGAAGACGCTATCGGTGTTTGATCATAGGTGTCTGCGTGTCTGTTGAGAAATATTTAAGGTTAAGTAAGGCAGAGGTTCTGAAGGTGAATCCGTTGAGATGGCTGAGATACACAAGCCGAGTTACTGCCCTCCTTAATGTGTCAATGGTTATAACTGAATAAAGCTGTGTCGCTACTTTGTGCCTTTGTGTCTGCGCCTGTTAATTAGCCTATAACGGTAATGAACTCGACTGGTACGCGCTAATACGTCTATTTGTCCATTGTACCTTCCGATTCACTGGGCCACGCAAATATCAAAATACAAAGGCTGGCCTATGACTGTAAGATATTGTATTGTACATCTATTAAGAAACAAAACATCATATTTATATATTCAATTTATCACAAAACAGTTGGCTCACAGCTGTGAGAATGGATTGTTCTTATTGGCTGGGAATATCTATCCTGATTAGTTGACGATCCGACAAAGACCAAGGTGAGACAAAAGATGATGAATTGATCTCACACACTAAATCACAATATGCGTCAGAAATGACAGATCAACATAGTAACTCCATCACAAGATAAATCACACGATTCGTGATCCTATCGGCAATGTGTACCGATATAGAATTAAGTTGGAATAGAATTAAAGGTGATGGTCAAAGTGAAGCCGGGCATCATTCCATGAAGTCTCTGACAGTTGGTTGAGGCCAACCACATAGAAATGTGTAAAATATCTGGTTGGTGTCCACGAGACTTTCAAAGCCAGTAGCTTGAGACTGTAGGGCTGATAGAGCTCAAAACTGTCCTGAATAGCGTAGATGCATTCACTACTCTTTGTAATCTCCTGGATGTATGAAGTCCTTGTGGTGCTATTCTATCTGCGTATATTTATTTTCTCTACTACATGGAATGTAGTAACTTGGCTTGACGCTGCACTTTTGAGCAGAGCTCTATGCTAAAACTCAATCCAAGTCAGGTGTTAGGCTTTCAAATCAATCAATAAATTAGCACAGAAAATAAAAATAAGTAACTCTTAGTTACATTTAGAAAACAGAAAGATTGAGCGAAGAAATATTTACTTTTCAATTAGATCCTCATCTCTCTCTGGCTCTATTCTAATATACACGTAGAGCATTTTTATTACAATACACAACAGTTTACCAATCATCAGGTGGCACTGATATGTTTGTTAACAATAATTAGTCAGTGTTAAAATGTCAATGGGTTGATAATTAACGAAGAAAATCAATACACACAATTAAAAGGTAGAAATGGTTAGAATAAATTAATTTTACAAGGATAACACGTAATTAAAGATGAAGTGGTCAAAATAAAAATAAAATAATTTGGACAATTATAATTTTTATAGTTTTTAAAGGTTTAGGGGGAGGGGGGTGAAGTAGTCCGGTTTATACAGTCATGTAATAATGGCCAAGGCAAGGAAAGTGGCTGTACAAATTTCTTGTGAACACACAGGTTTGGCTTCTTCAGGTGGATTCTTATTGCTTCAGCTGTCTGTAGTTACATTTGATTTAAAATTGAGGCATTTTTTTCGCCGATACTCTGTTAAATACAAGTTAGTAGAATAATATAAGCCCATTAATATTTCGTAAAATCCTTTCTATTGCTTACAATATGAGCGTTAGTCATATCTCAGATAAGAAAGAGCACATGCTGGTGAATACCAAAGTGAAAGGGGATGAAGTTTTCAGCATCGGATAAGTTCGTCCCAGGTCAGTCATTTGTTATTTACATTATATGCGCGAGGAGCCGATTGGCGTCGGTAATATTTAGTAATATTTCGATGACAACCAAAATCATTGTACAATAACCCGCCTAGATCGAATAGTGGACATCTGTCAACTACAAGATTTAATAATGTGAAATATTCCCATATCATAGTGAATTAAAAGTCAATCTGAACGAAGAATATTGTTTTCAATACATCCTTCTCCTCTTCAGGTTCTTATAATTATAAAATATAATATTTATTGTCGTTACAATAATGATAGCCAGTTATGCGGCGGATACATTTTAACGTAGAATAACAGATTAGTTATGGGCTGTCGAAATAAATAGTCGTATTTGTGTGACAAACATCGTGCTAGGCTGAAATCGATTACAAAATATTGTAAAATGGGAGACAATGGTGGTGATTAGTCATAATAGATTTGTAGAGTGTGGGGTAGGAAAAATTGACAAGTCAGTTCAAGGTTATAAAAGGTGTCAGGTGAGTGAGTGGCTAGTACAAAGTGGTATGTATTAAACAGGAGATATTAAGACTGCAATGAGAGGTTCATCATGAAATAGCGAATGTGTGAAATGCGAAAAGAGATAATATCACTAATAATAAGTCCGGATTGTATAAATGGAAAATTCGATAGTATTGAGAGAATGTTTCCATGAAGAGAATAAATTATGGCGAATAATAATAATTGTAATAATAAGTAAAGGAAAAGAAAAAAACCAAGAGGGTTAAGAGGAAGAAGCACTCTTGGTGAGAAGAAGAATCATCAATCCAAGTTTGGCCACAGTAGGAACAGCGTCTGGACGTGTTCTTTTCGGATACAAAGTTCCGGTTTAGTCGATCTTATTGCAACAGCTTCAGCTATGTGTAGGAGACGTAAGCGAACTGTACGTGATAACAAATTCGGAATATAACCCTGAAAGCTGTGTTGGCATCGATGCGATGTCCAGCCTAGCACGTTTGTCACACAAATACGACTATTTATTTTAACACCCCATAACTAATCTGTTATTCTACGTTAAAAATGTATCCGCCGCTTAACGACAATAAATATTATATTTTATAATTGTAAGAACCTGAAGAGGAGAAGGATGTATTGAAAAGAATATTCTTCGTTCAGATTGACTATTAATTTGTCAACTACGCTGTAGTGCGAAGAGCCTGTTTTCGGCAACGAATTCATTCACTTAGCTGTACAATCGCAGCTATGGATAGCTATTTTTGTATATGTGCGTCGGTGGCATAGTAGTTAGGACGCTTGCCAACCATGCACATGGTCCGGGGTTCGATCCCCGGCCGACGCACTCCTCTACCTCGTTGAGCCAGAAATAATGCTGGTGAAGAGGAAAGGTTGGGCATGAGGCTAGCAACCCCATCCTGTAAAATAAGCACTGCTACAGAAACTTCAAGCCACTAGCTTGAAGCCCTATGTTCCACTGGGGAACGTGAAGGAAATAAAAAAAATTTTTGTATATGTGTGTACATTAGGTTTGTGAGACAAGAATAAAAATTAGTTAGCGTTATTGTTTACGTCATCAAAAAATTTCAAAATCTGTGATGAATAATCGAAATTTAACTAGTGGCGGGAAGAGGGGATTTGAAGATTAGTAAGTCTTGACTAAAGTTACGTAATATGAAAGACACTCCGAGAAATAGGATATTAATGTCAGAGCATGAAGACAAGTTTCCAAAGTTAAAATTATGTAATAGTTAGAAAGAGTAAATGTGAGGGTCAGTTAATTCAAAAGGTGAACGCCTCTCATTTATTTACGGTCTACCAAAAATCCATAAGACCAATGTGCCCTTAAGACCCATATTATCAATGATAAACTCACCATGCCAGAAACTAGCTCGATGGTTGGCTGAGTCATTGAAGCCAATTCAACAACAGAAATTTGCAAATCGTAGCTTGTATGACACCAACAAATTGATGGGTTCCCCCGCTAGGACCTATTCTAGTTGAAATCTTCATGGGTTATCTCGAACAGACTCGACTGAGTGATGCTATCAATGAAACAACATACTATCGTTGATATATCGATGATACGTTTGTTGTTTGTAACGACAT